AAAGTCTGCTGTCAATTTGATACAGCAACGCAGGACAAAGGTATGTAAACAGATCAGGTGAGATGGGAGAGCTGGCACCATGACCATAGTATTTTAGCAACTGAGTGACATTCAAACACTGCAAGGAAATTGACAAAACAGATTAAAGAATGTCTTTAAAAAGATTATGCAGAACAATAAATTATGGTATAACAAATATAGTTTAAGTATCATTTGAAAATAATGTATAATTCAGATATCTAAAACAAACCACATTTTTATAGGAATCTGTAAAAATTTATGATAGGCATACATTCAACTAGATTACTGAAGACTTTCTATGGATTATATGGGACTATAGCGCCAATATTCTTAGGAAATGAGGAGAAAAATCATTTCCTTATCAAACTGCAATCCTCAGTGAACTCAAAAGTCATAGTATAGACACTGTGACTGCCAAAGGCATTTACAAAGAATATTATATCGGGGCTTATATAAATAAGTAGCTCAGTGGTTAAATACCTGCTTAGCTTTGCACTTGTGCAAAGCTCTGGGTTCAATCCCCAGCCCATTTAAAGAAAGGGAATATGGAAACATTTTATTGGGAAATTCTAGCCCAATGTGGGTGGAGGGACACAAAATAGGAACAAGGGAGGGGAAAAAAAAAAGCAGATTTTGGGGATGCCTAGCATGCCTTTACAAAGTCTGGGGTTTAGTCACCAGCACACGACACACACACAAAGAAAGGCAGCACTATCCACTACAGTAAAAAAAAAGCAAACAAGTTTGGATCCATCCTATAGTAAAAAGGGGTATCTGTAATTAATGCAAAGGAGATATTCCTCCCCTTTTATACATATATCCACTCTGACTACAAGCTTGTTTACTGACCTGTTATCTTACTACATGGTTTTATCTACCCACACACACACACTCACCCACACACAAAACAATCAAAACCTACAGACACACAAAAACGACTCTTCTTAGGTCTTAATTACCATGAGGTACTACCCTATTCAATGCATAGAACATTTTCATTTTCATTCATACTGAGAATTCTCAGTATGCATTAGACTTGTGAGGTCACCAAAAACCAGACTGAAGCTGCAGACTTCAGTCTGATACAGAGTCACAAGATTTAGTTATTATAAATAAAAGCTTCCAGAATCTTGTCCATAGTAATAAATGCACACTTTTAAAAAACACACTATGATCTTAATGTGTATTACTAAGATAGTGTTTATAACTGCTAAAATCCAAAATATATGATGATTTAGCCAGGGAAGAAAGTTATTTATTTAGATGCAAAACATATCTCAATGACAGTGACAGAAACAGCAAAGGGTAAGATCATTTTTTACATTTGATGGTACTGCTTTCTATTATATGAACAATATACAAATTCAATTTTTTTCTAAACTGTAGTAAGAATGCTAAAAATCAAAATAAATAAGGGTGCTGGTACATCTTTAATGAAACAAAAAAAATATGCCTATGGTAAAGTTTTTTTTTTTTAAATGGAGACAAAGTATCCAGGAGTATGACAGTTTAGAAGGAAAAACCTGGACTTTCCTATTATTGTATCTTTTTGCAGTCACTCTACATGTGTTAAAGGCTTGAGAAAAGATCAATATCCTGAGTAAATAGGCCTTGTCACAAAGGAACAGAAAAAGCAAGCATAAAACACGTACACAATACCTAACTTTAGAGATACAATGACTGTGAAACCACTTAGTAGTTAATAAATTAATAACTGTGAAAAAGAAACTGTTTTAGCTACTCCTCAAAAGGATAGGATGAACAACAGAATTTTAATTTTCAAGTTCCTAGAGACCAGCTAAGGATAGTAATAGTGAAACCTAACTTGGAGAGTCAAATAACACATAAGCAACATGGTACAATGAAGAATTAAAATAAACGTTTTCAAAAAACATTTACAATTTCAAAATAAAAGACACAAGACAAGTGAAAATCCAAATTAAAAAAAAAAAATCTTCATACTGATTTTGATTCCTTATTGGTTTTTGTAGGCTGTTACCTGCTGTTCCCTAGCTAAACGTGCGGAAGTGACTTTTAACGCGGTTCTACTCTTCACCTTATCCTTACGAAGGGCTGCACGTGATGTGAAGACCACCGAGCAGCGCGGACACCGTCTGTACTTACTTCGTGTTGGCGATCATCTTCACTATGATCTTTGTGGCTAGCAGCGGAATAAATTGCACTTTTTTTCACATGCGGTGCTTCTCGCTTTCTCGTGTGTCGAAGTTCACCTTCATTATCCGGATCAGGGTCGTGAGCGCTCCGCTCTGGAGCATGCGGGTGAGGATGACCTGGGTTGTGCACACGGTCAGGTTTGTGAACTCGATTGTGCTCATACTGTTCCCCCTGATCGCGGCTCGGGAGGAAACGCGGTGTGATAACCTCGGGGTTTTCGCTGCTTTTCTCCTCGATGTTCTTCCTATTTTTTTTCCGCGACTTAATTTCAGGTTGCTCTTGTGTTTTGTTGGTCTCTGTTGAAGGTCCATGACGAGGCTCCGCACGCTCACCGTGAGCCATGGAATCGTTACGGACAGGGCGGGTCGCGTTGTGGTCAGGGTGGAGGTGCGAACGATGGCGATGATGCGGGCGATGATTATGGTCACGCACGTGCTTGTCCTCAGCTTTCACAGACACTTCAATTGTCTCTTTCTCTGGATCACACTTATGGTTTCTTTTTGCTGATGCACTGGTCACAGTGTGATTTTCTGCATTTAAGTGATTGTGGGAGTGCTGGTGACTACGTGAATGAAAATGCTTTCCCTCCTGAACCGCCAGAATGTCTAAGTGAGAAACATGATCGTGGCCAAGATCCTCATGATTAATCTCAACTACTCTTATTTCTCCGAGCCCCAGGTTCGTTAGAAGTTTCTCCAGACCAAAAAAGGAAAGTCTTCCATTTTCACCATAACGGTCGAAAAGTTTTTCAATATAGTATTTTTTTTCATTTTCAGCCTGCACAGAAAATTTGCTGGGATCCACATCTGCCATTCCACGATGATGTCTGCGAAGCTCCTCGGGACCGTGGTCATGCGCCTCATGGCAATGGTTGCAATGATGGAAAACAAATGTCAGCAAACAAATGAGGCAAAATTTCGTATGCATATGTACCTTCATTTCTGTTTCTCCTAAAGGGATTTAAAAACACAGAAGGATTACTTTATACCTCAGCACATTCAAAATACTCAACCTCAAAGCTCCTACTCTACTAACCAAATGTTTTTCCCCATTTTTTATGCCTGTGACTCATTCCTTCCCTCTCCAATTCCCCATTTAAAATGGCCATTTGAGTTGATCATAATAGTATACAGTTCTTCAAATTAGTGCAAACTGCTCAAGACTCAAAAATTATTCCCACTCCCTTTAAGGAAAACACCAGTATTTATGCAGGGATTATTGGCTTCCTTCCTATCTGATTCTTTACAAAAAGTTTGCTGATCCCTGCAAACTGAGATTCTGGTCAGTATAGAAAGACAAGAAAAATGATAAAATGGGTAAGAATCAGAAAAAAGTGAAACTGTCATTACTAACAAATGGAGAAATAATTAGAGAATGAAAATGGTAAACAATACCATTTACAGTAATAAACAGCTAAAAATAAATTTAGGACTGGCAGAATAGCTCAAGTGGTAAAGAACCTGTCTAGCAAGTATGAGGCCCTGAGTTCAAACCCCATACCACAGAAAGAAAAAATAAAAAATAGTAATAATAAATTTAACAAAAACAACATATAAGACATTTACATGGAAAAGGATCACACATTAAATTAAAGAGGGCTGGCTGTGTCACAGAGTGGATGGCTGTATTATGCTTAAAACTGCCTTGTTTTACAGTTCCAGTACAATCCTGATCAAAACCCTAGAAGGCATTCTGTGAAAACCAAAGTTATTTTTAATACTTTTTGGAAACAGAAAGGGTTAAAAATGATCAAGAAAAACTTGTGAGGTGGGGGGGATTGGAGCAGATGCTCTGCTAATTATTAAAAAAGTATAGTATTTTGTTTAAGAATAGATAGACCAAGTTGTATTTGGTTAAAGAACAAAGAGCAAAAGAACAAAATAAAGAATCTAAAAACAGTAAAAGATATTCTTTTCCTTGGTGTTTGGTCAATGAGATTTTCTGGAAAAAAAACTTGATTTTTACTTCACATTATATAAAAAAAACAATTATAGGTAAGATTGTGAGCCTGACTGTGAGACAACAAATGTTAATATAGTAAGTGTCCTGAAACATGCTTTCCAATATAGTACCCACCAGCCAGAAGTGCATATTTAAATTCAAATTAACTAAAGCTGAGTGTGGAAGTGCACACCTGTAATTCCAGCACTTTGGAGGCTTAGGCAGGAAGAGCCAAATTTGAGGCCAGCCTGGGCTAAATAGCAAGACCCTTTCTAAACAACAGCAAAAAATTAGTTAACTAAAATTAAAATTAAAATGCAGCTTCTCAGTCACCCTAGCCATATTTTGTATGCTCACTCTTTGATGGAGCTAGTATCTGCCATCTTTGCACAGTGCAGACACAGAACACATGCACCGCTATAGGAAGTTCCACTGGACAGCACACTTCTAGAATCCAAAAACAGAATGTGAGCCAATTATGTAATTTTTAAGTTTTCTAGAATAAACAGATGAAACCAATTTCATACTATATTCTAGTGAACCCATAATATCTTAACTTTATCAATAAATACATTGCATTCTGTTTACGGCTATGCCTTTGAAATGAGGCATATATCTCACATGGCACATCTTCACTCAAGTGCCCAACAGCCCCCTGTGGCTATTGTTACTGGAAAGGCACACCTAGAAGATTTATTTGGGAAACTAATTTTAAGACTTCAAGATAGTACACAAAAAGCATTATAAAGGAAAGACTGGTACCATATGCCTCATTAAAATTAAGAATTTCTGTTCATCAAGAGACATCACTTTAAAAAAAGGCATGGATTAGGCAAAGTACCACAATTTACAATCAAGAATTTATTTTTTAAAACCTTACAAATCAGTATGAAATGGGAGAATTATATATAAAACAACCAATGGAAAATGGGTAGGAGTCTTGGAAACACTACCAAATTACTAAGAAGTATACTTAGCAGAATCTGTCAAAAGTCAAACTGAAGTGTATCTGCTCACGTAGCAGCTCTACTCAGAAGAAATGCATGTGTATGGATGCCAAAACACACCAACACCAATATCCACATAATCATAATCATAGCTCAAATCTGATAAAAGTCTAAATGCTTATCAACAGTAGAGTGAATAAAACCCATCAATCCTACAACCGAATACCATACAGGAATGAAATTGATACTATACCTTCATTCAGTTAACAGAGGTGAATTTCACCTCAAAAGATGGCAAACATCAAAGGAAACCAATTAGCTGGGTGCTGGCAGCTCATGCCTGTAACCCTAGCTACTCAGAAGGCAGAGATCAGGAGGACTGCAAAGCCAGCCTGGGCAAATAGCTTGTGAGACCCTATGGGGGTGGGGGTGGGGGAACAATCACAAAAAGGCCTAGGGGAGTGGCTCAAGGTATAGGCCCTGAGTTCAAACCCCAGTCTGCAAAAAAAAGAAAAAAAAGAAACGATACTAAAAAGTTAAAATGAGCCAATGAATAAAATGTATAAAGATAAATTGAGCAAAACTAAACCAAGATAATTTCTTTTTTGGCTGTACTGGGGTTTGAACTCAGGGCCACCCCCACCAGCCCTTTCTACTTTAGTTTACTTTTTTTTTAATTAAGGAATATAAAACACCATTATTTACAATAAAGTAAGCAATATACAGTTGGATAACATTCTGATTATACAAAGCTGTTTTCCTGGCTTCTGCAGAACCAGTAACCCAAATATTGCAAAGACTGAGCCTACACATAAGGAGTGAGTTGGAGGAAAGAAAAAGCATGCAGGTCAACAGTTTATAAACATTTGTTCACCCCTTTATGCTAGTAGGTCCTAAACTGCCAACATCTCTAGCCAGCTAATTCACATTTCCATAAGCCAAGTCTGAGATATTCCATGATTCATGACTTTTTAGTGCACAAATTTCAACTTTCTGTAAAGAACTAGCTCCCTAGAGGAACCTTTAAATGCCCACTTACTTTTGTTTAGCTATTTAAAACAAACCAGGATTTGTCTAGTGTCTCCATCTGGGTGGGGAAGTTGTTGATGGTGGTAATAGGGAATTTTGCAAACAAACTACTGCATTCATGTGTCTATAGAAAAACAAGACAGACGTGGTGACGCATGCCTGTAATCCCAGCAGTTAGACAGTGGAAGCAGAAGGATTGCAAGTTTGAGGCCAGCCTGAGCTGCCTAGTGAGACTTTTCCTCCAAAGAACAAAGGCTGGGGACATAGCTCAGTAGTACAGAGCTTGCCTAGCATGCTCAGAGCCTGGTTCAATCCTCAGCATCTAAAAAAAAACAACAAAAAACCCCCCAAAACCCAAAACCCAATTTAATTATTTTATGTATATGCATGCACAAAACACTCAGAATAGCTCTAATAGCTCTAAGAATAGCTCTAAGACATACCAGTTAAAAGATAAGTTCTGATTAGTGCCTGGAAAATTTCCCTAACATTTAGAAAAAACCATGTTCTCAAATGCAGAGGATATAGCACGGCATTAAATATTCTTTTCAGATAAAGGAAACAAATTCACAATGCTTTTATTTTATTTGTTCAAAGAAGCCAGTATAGCTAATGAAAACAACAAAAAACTTCCCCACTACTACTTTTAAAACCAACATATCAAACTTGATTTTCATTAACATGTGGCTTTCTTTCAAACAGTAATTCAAAATACCAGACCCGGGTGTGTGCATGTGTGTGTGTACAGATATATATATATAAAAAACAATGCAAACCATTATTGAGATTCATCTTCTAGACAAGAATGCCAAGTTAGTCTCTCTTCATAAAAAGCAACTGCGACCTGAGAGCACCTCATATTTGCCTCTTTAGTCAGCACCAAGTCCTTCTCATCAGCATCTTTTCCATGTCATGGTGTTTGTGGCACTCATGATTCCTTCAGTATTGAGAATCCTGGTGAAGCCTCTTGGTTTGGCAGCAGGCTCTCTCTCCTCCTTTGCTTTGCTATCATTGGATTCACTGTCAGGTATTTTCTTTATATTCCATCTTTTTCTTTACCAGTTTTTGAGAATTAAGAAATGCTACAGTCAACTCTGAACATTGTAACTATTCTTCAGATTCCCAAGTACTGTCAGCATCTATAAATCCCTTCCACCTCTCCAGAACTACTTCCACCACAGGCTCCTGCCTCTTCAACCTTTTTACTCTTTCCCATCTTTTGCAATGCAGTTTTATTGGAGGCCATTTTTACTTGCAGACTTAAAAGAGCCACTCTGATGCTCTGGTTAGTGGGTCCCGCGGCATCTCTAGTGTACTTTTTTAGATGGGGCAAACTTCAGATCACTATCTTCCTACCTCCACCTCCTGTGTACCTATAATTACAGGCATGCACCACCACACCTAGTTTGTTTTGTTTTGTTGGTGGTACTGGGATTTGAACTCAGGGCCTTGCACTTGCTAGACAGCTTTTCCACCACTTGAGCCTCACCTCCAGCTCCCATCTTGTTTTTTGAGATAGTGTCTTGTTAATTTTTTCCAAGGGCTAGCCTTGAACCTCCACCCTCCCAATCTCTACATTCTGCATAGTTGGGATTACAGACCTGGGCCACTACACCTTATATGTTTTGAAAGGAAGGTAGGGGAAAATGGGAAAAGATCAAAGTAAAGCGATCCAAAGGGTGATAATGTTCTCTTTCCTGACCTGAGTAATATTACACAAATGTTCGTTTTGTGATAATCCATGGCACTTATGCTCAGTGTATTTTCTGACACACATATTTTACCTAACAGTACAGGGAGTATAGTATCAGGTGCTGAGCATTGAACCCAAAGCCCTTGCATGTCAATCAAATCTTTTCCAATGAAAACCAATTACAAAATGGAATTACATGGTTTCATGAGCTAAGGAAAACAGCATGTGAAACCATCAAAAGGAAAAGTTTATGATATTACAAAAAGACAGTAAAGAAGAACTGCAAAACTGGAGAGAGACCATCTACGTACATGGAGCATATCACATGAGACATATAAAGTCTCCTCTGTGTTCGCACAACTTTAATTCAATGCCAGTCAATATCTTTTTTTTTTTCGGGGGGTGGGGGGAGTGGGTAACTGGGGCTTGAACTTAGTGCCAACACTCTGAGCCACTCCACCAGCCCTTTTTTGTGAAGGCTTTTTCGAGATAGGGTTTTGTGAACTATTTGCCTGGGCTGGCTTTGCTTCAAACTGCAATCCTCCTGATCTCTGCCCCTTGACAGAGATTACAGGCATGAGCCACAGGTGCCTGGCCAGTCAGTATCGTGATAACTATTTTGGGAAGAATTCACAAACAAGTTCAAAAATTCATATAGAACAACAAAAACCTAATGACAATCTAGACAATTCAGAAGATTAGTCACATAATAAAGACTTTTTTCATAGTTATACTAACCAAAACAACACAGAACTGGCACCAGGACAAATAGGCCAGTGCAGCAGAGTTCAGAAAGAAAATCAATAATATTGATTATGAAAATGGTCCTTCTTCACACATGCATACACAAAGGTCAATTTCAAAAGAATTAAAGCCCTGTAAGTGAAAAGCAAATTCTTAAGTTTTAGAAGAAAATATAGAATGTCATTATGACTTGGGATAGGAAAGATTTTTCAGACAAGACACAGAAAGTATATACCATACAGAAAAAATTTCTGGCTTAATTGAATTCTTTTAAATTTACAAAAAGGATAACATAAACAAAGCTTTGACCAGCCAAATACTAGAAGATATTTTTCATGTGTATATATAAACAATATGTATTAAAGATCAGTATCCAGAACATACAAAATATACATTCATAAGGAAAAACCTCTTAACATTACATAGACAGCTATATCAAAGATATAAGCAAAAAAAGTTGGTTACTGATACCCTAGATGATGCAAATCTAGATAATGTCCCAAGACACTAACAGGAGATACTGACAATATGTAATCAACGTGTGACAATGCTAGATGGTAAGTAAATTTCTAATGCAGAGAAATGGAAACTGATATATACTGATAAACCATTTTCTGAAACAATCTGGCACCTACTAAAGCCGATATGATATTTTACAGCCCCAATTCCCACTTCTAGCTACCCTTCCTGACTAAATCACAAGTAGACAAATTCAAAAATCCTTATTGAAAAAAAATGTTTTAGCAACTGGGTTTGAACTCAGGGCCTTAAGCTAACTAGGCAGTCACACTTCCACTTGAGCCAATGCCCCCAGCCCATTTTGCTTTTGTTATTTTTCAGTTGGGGTCTTGAATTTATGCGTCCAGGGCTGGCCTCAGCTCACAATACTCCTATCTATGGCTTCCTGCATAGCTGGGATCACACTTGCTGCCACCATGCCCATCTGACTGGTTGAGATGGACATCTCACTAACTTTTTGCCCAGCTTGGCTTGGAACCACAATCCTGATCTCCATAAGTAGCTGGGATTACAGGGATTAAGCCACCAAGCCTGATCTTCTAAGATGAATGCTTTGGTTGAAAAGAACAAGAATACTCAACTCT